TTCAAGACTTCAAGACTTCAAGCCCTGACCTTACATGCAGTTGCTGCAGTTGTGGTTGAACCGAAAACCAACCTCAGAGTGTCTCTTCATGACACGGTTTCTCCTTCAAAACACCTAAAAAGGGCAAAGTTACAATTCAGTTGGTGTTTTTAGGCTGCAGCAGGTCATTTGCGGTTGTACATTGGATTTGTTTAAATGAATCACTGGTTCGGGTACGGGCCGACTCGCCGTGTGACAAGGTCGACGCCATATTGGACGAATGAGCAAGCGTATTTTGGCCATATCCGATGGTTCGGATTCGTACCCGAACAACCATCCATCTCATAAATCTAGGTCTCCCGGTATGTGACTCAGCACTTTGTTCTTCATCACGTAGAACCTACTCCACGGAAGCGGAAGACACGTTGGTCAGCAGCCTCAGACTCCGAACGAACCTACATCCCCGGAATGCCAACTCAATTACCTCCGAATTTGACACCACAACAAGAAAAAATATACATAAGTACGAGTTTTAATCGAAATTAATTTTTCTCAGTCCAACTTCAGATTGAGGACATTTCGCGGCGTCTAAAATGTGGGGACTTGGGTATACCAAAAAATCCCGAGGACAGGTCAGAAAGTTTCTTTCTCATATTAGCTCTGCCGTATTGTAGGTTCTGGTTTTATTTACTGTATTCACTTTAATCATTTCCGTCCGTTTACATGTTGGATTAGTTGGTAGAAATGCAATACATTGCTAATTTCGGTTTGTCTAGGGTTTATGTAATGTAGATAAATGCAATGCTTGGATCCACGTAATAGGAAGAGGGTAAGGGTTTCAGCATATGTTACATAACGATAATGTTTTTCATCTACTAAATGTTGCTTTTGCTTTAGGTCCCCTTCGCCAGAGCCCATTTACAGTAGTGACGGGAAGCGACTGAATACCCGGGAGTACAGGACGCGTAAGAAGATGGAGGAGGAACGCCACACATTGGTCCAACAGTTGATGGAACTTAATCCAGAATATAAACCACCCTCAGATTACAAGTAATTATCAGTAGTCTTTCATGATTTCCGTAGGCCACCGCAAAACCGAATAACAGACAAGGTTTTCATCCCCCAAGAGAGCCATCCTGATATCAACTTTGTTGGTCTTCTCATAGGCCCCAGGGGAAACACTCTCAAAGCTTTGGAAAAAGAAGTAAGTGACTCGGTGCTGACTTAGCCTCTCGAGATCCATAGGGGGCTGCGCTTTTTTGTGCTACGTTCATCCATTTTTATTCTTAGTTGTGAAGTGCGTACGCAAACGAATACCTCAGTGTTCATAGTAGAATTTTCATCGATTTGATTCTTATTTTCTCTTGATTACAAAGGCATGTGTAATAGCTCCTGCAATATTAATTCAACACGTCTGCAGTAACTAAATAGTCAGTTATGTTCGTCCCACTGAATATACCTTCGTCGGAGATCCGTTTTCAGATTAGCCTTTGGTTTTAGTTCGCGCCTCCGCTAACCACCATTCGAGTTGAAATCGACTAGTTGATTGTACCCGAAGAAAAAATACAAGCAAATTAAAGTAGTTTGGATTTTGTATTCGTCTGTACACACTTGGTATTGGTGACTTCCGGACGTAGTCTACCATGAACCGAACGTAATATTTGCCCTCAGCTAACCTCAATGATCAGTACTTCAACGTGGTTTTTCCATCAGAACATAGTATTTGGCAAATGTTGCTCGATCACTGGCGGATACTCCTGCCCAATCTACACTATTCTCAGGGTTAGTGGCTAAATCCTGTTTTTTGAATTATCTGTTCTCTTGCCATCAGCCTTTTGACAACTAAAGCATTCATTCACTGATAGAAACCGGAAACCTAAGCCCCGGGACTTGGAGTGGTGAACCACACAAGGCCCCAATAGGTTGAACGTGGTATTCAACCGGACGACAGCAAAGCTGTCCACCAGCAATGAAGTTGATAAACGGCTTCATTTTCGCCTTTCGCGCTGTATTCATCGTACTGAATGAATTCGTTTTAGCAGCGACCATTTGAGTTCATTTGATTTCGCTGCACGGTCCCTTGAAGCATCGTTGCGTAGTACTAGGTAGTATAAGTGAACCTCTTCCGTGGAAAATGCATCAAGTGTAATAAAGATAATCTAACATGTCTCTTTCAAGCTGTTCAAACTGCTCATGCGAACGCCCACATGGCTTATTCATCCAGTGTCTAATTTCGACCGGCTGATCGTCAGTCCATCACAAGATTGGGTCGGTCAAGTTGAGGCAAATTGCGGTCACATCACCATGATGCATACGCTTAAGCTCATTCCAGTCGTGGCTCGTAGTTGACTCATCAGGCTATCAAGATCCTTCTGGTGGCCGTACCCACTAAGGAGCATGGGCTTGCTCATCCGCTGTCAGCTACTGTTGCAACGGCATCGCTGTAGGTGGTCGTGCCACTCAGAATTCGACTGAAGGCGGCATCAAATGATGACCCTAAGGACGTCGTCTATCGACTTTGATGCCCATGACAGTTCATAGTCAATGTAAAAATCAAAATAATTAATTAATTAACCGTGATATTGCCATTGCCTCCATTCCATCAAGAGGATCTGAATTCGCATCACTCAATTCATTTGATCTCATATCTAACCGGTAACTTCCCCCTGGACCGCAGCAGTGTCGTAGCTTCTCAGCAGAACAAATATCGGGTCTGAAGTACCGTACAGCACACTTAGTACTTTTGTGGAATGAATACAAAACCTTATTCTCGTTTTTCCTCGTAATTGGTTGTTCCACATTGTTCTCCTTTGTGCCCAAATCTCCTCATACTATTCTGATACTTGTCGCGTTGTATGTATTTAACGTGTAAGTCTAGATGGTGTACCACACAACTTACAGCACACAAGATCTCTATGACAGAAAAAGGTAAATGATTTGTTAGTTGGCTGAATACTGCCAGGTTGCTCAAGCCGAATCTGCATCTGGATTGTTCGCAAGCCAATGGTGTAATGGCCAACTCGGTTAAAAATCAGTGGAAGCGGCAAAAAACTGATGGTATTTATGTTATTTCTCGTAGTGTTAAGTTGTTTGTAAAGGTCTGTTAACAGATTAAATCTGCGGTATGCAAGCTGCTGTCAATGTACACCGTGGGCTTAGTAGCATACGGTAAAGTTCGCTTCATTGTTTCTCACTGGGCAATGATAATTAAATTGTCTTTTCGCTATAGACAGGTGCCAAAGTTATAATCCGCGGAAAAGGCTCAGTTAAAGAGGGCAAATTGGGCAGACGCGATGGGTTGCCAATGCCCGGTGAGGATGAACCACTGCATGCGTTTGTCTCAGCTCCGACGGCAGAGTCGGTTCAAAAAGCGGTCAAGAAAATTAATGAAATCATCCGTCAAGGTATAGAAGTTCCTGAAAGCCAAAACGACTTACGGAGAGCTCAGTTGCGAGAGCTAGCTCTTCTGAACGGCACGTTGAGAGAACATGAAGGATTAATGAAACTTCGAGCAATGGCAGAGGCTCAAACAATCGCCACAAATAAAATTCATTGTGGAATTTGTGGGGGTGAGTCACTATATTTCCCACTGCTTTTTCTGTAATTCCACCCGTTCAGTAATGTCTCCACTTTTTGCTTGTCATTTTGTGATTCGACAAACTCCGAGTGTGCGAGGTGAGATAATTGTCATCTTGAGAAACGTTTCGAAAGGATACCCACATCCAAATCAGCTTGAAGCTCGTATGTAAGGAAAATGGGGTGGTGTAGATATTCTACAAATTGGCGATGAAAAAATGACGGAGAAGTGCTGCAGATGACTACTACCACATGGTAAAGTCAGTTTGTCAAATGCGCGCCTAATGGATGGGTAAACGAGACTACTGATAGCTGTCTGGACCCTTAATACAGGCGCACTGAAAAAGCACCTACTAGGTGATTCACCTAAAGTAGACGGAAACATTAGAACCGTATATTTCAGTCCTGCTTGCGAGGAATTGTGTAAATTTTTCCTCAAAGAAAGCCAATCATACTACACCCGAGGCTATGGAGTGTGTTGAAAAGCAAAATGTAGCTATGGAAAGTTCCCTTGGGTCAAGGACAAAACGAATCTTGTTTAGGGAGAACAGTTATGAAGGTACAAACCTCTTTGTAGAATGACCAGTATGCGATAATTAATGTATGTAACGCGAGTAGAGCTTGACAATCAATTTTGGTCTTTGTGACAATGGCGATCATCTTGTAAAAAGAAAAATGAAACAGTGGAAGTGATCAAGCTGAAATAGACGTCTAATGGCTCCAGTGCATGATTTCCGGATAACTCGAAGATCAAACGGAACAGGTTATGGGAAGGCTTTTTGCATAAACGGAATGGGTTGGTTTGCGTAGTTGGTCGCCCGACAGCCGACCGAGATCAACTTATTGCCCTGGGGGACCTACTTTCGGATCCCGCCGTCACAACCTAACTTATCTCGTTTTCGATGGTTCATGTAGCTTGGCCGCTTTCCCGTTTCTGAAAAATTGTTCGTACCATTATAAAGGAAGTAACTTAAGGGGAGACATGATCAGAACGGTGATCAGATCAACTTGTTAGTGCAGCTGGGGTTGTATTTAACAGGGACCAACCAGATGCTCTTTATGGTATGGTATGGCATATAACAAATTGCCTAACAGTTTGCTGTTTGCTACTTTCTGATTTTTAGGAGCCGGTCATTTATCGCAGGATTGCAAGGCCAATCTGAGTGCCATGGCATATATTGATCAGTTGAATAACAACCCGACGGAGCGTGCCAAAATGGACAGCGAGTATTCGGCGCTTATGGCAGAGCTTGGCGTTGGAGCAGCTTCACAGTTCTTGAACTCAGGAATGGGTAAGTTGATTGGGTTTATTCTCTATGCAGTTCTCGACGGTTCGTCAGGGGTATTTCAAACGAAGAAACTTGTCCACAATTCCAATTTTGCATTGGGTGTACTTCGTTATTGTGTGAGGTGAATGAAAGACAGTTCTCACAAAAGCTATTGCAGTGGTACTCATTTCAGGGTCCTGTTTCCATCGCTTATTGATGCATTTAAACACTTGCAGACCCTGCTATGAAAACTGACATTGCAACGTGAAACATTAAAAGAGGCAAGATCCGACTGCAGGTAGGCCATGCGATGCTTTGGCTTGAGAGGGAATTCTTTGTTTCGAAAATTCGTGTACTGCTTGAAATGCTGTCAGATCCACCTTGCTTTTATGCGATTTCTCTGTAACCAAGGCACCCAGGTTTATCAGATTTGGTATGCTGATGTTCCGACTCGGTAGCGCGATTCCCCATACAAAGCCCGGTCCATTAGAATGTGGTTGCTTCATCGCGAAATAAAGACTGGTCAATCCACAGCTCTTATTCGAACTCCATTGACCATGTCTGATCTGTAAGCAAGGTGTGTTTAGGCGTATGTAGAGATTTTCCACACTATACAGAATACGGGTAGTTATCCTTCATGGGTTGAACAACTTCGAAAATTGTGACAATCTGTGATTGAAACGTTATGTTGTGGTCATAAATATTGAAGATCCTCTTTTTGTAACCACTTTTTTTCATCATTTCCTAGGGCACGTTTTCTAAATAATT